GGTATTCTCTTCCGATTATTTCCTGTAATTTCTTTCAGTTTCTTATGTAGCCCATTTGTGTCGTGTTTCTTTAGTTCTTCTATTTCTCTACAATTTTCTACCATTCAGTGTTCTATAGCTTCCTTGATCTGCGTTTCTACTAGTTTCTTCATTTGCTTGTACTTCTCTTTATTTGTATTTTTGTATTTTCGTTTTTCTTCTATGAGGTTTATAATATCTGGTGTCATCCAGTCTTTTTTGGCAATTGGTTCTTTTTTACCCACAAACGTTTTACCAGCGTTAAGTACTGCCGATTTCATTACGTTCCAGGCACTATTAATATCTTTTTTTGACGCCTTTGTGAACTCTGGTGCAACTGCTTCATTTATTTGTTGTTGACATTTTTCACCCTCAAGCTTTGACAAATCTAGTCTCTGAATATTACTTTTTTTCTGTTGTTTTCTCAGTTTATTATTAACGTTGGCAAGAAGTAGATTGTGGTCGGAGTCTGCATCAGCACTAGGATATGTTTTAACGCTTTTAATTCCATTTCTAAATCTTTTGTTGACAAGAATGTAATCGATTTGGTTTCTTATCAGATTATTATTGTTGTCTCCTGGTGCACTCCAGGTATAGAGTCTTCTTGGTGGTAATTGATAAAAGGTAATTCTTTCTCTTGACAATATTGTACTAATTGGTCTCCTCTTTTATTTCTAATTCCTAGACCATAATTCCCTACGATATCTTCTACTTTCCCTTTACCGACTTTGGCGTTAAAGTCGCCCATTATTATGTTGACTTCATGTTTTTTTATGTTTTTCGTAAGTTGTTCTAAATCTGAATAGAATACATCTATGTCATTATCGGTGCTTCTTGATGTTGGAGCATAAATTTGAATTATGTTTATGATTATTGGGTGGGTTTTCAACTGTAACATTATTATTCTTTCATTATAGGGAATAAAATTTGAGACATACGGTTGTAGTGCTTTTTTTATTATGATTCCTACACCATTTTTGTGATCACCAGTACTGCTGCCCGACTAATAAAGAACAATGTCGTTGTGATAACACTGTCCAGCACTGGGACATCTTACTTCGCTAAGGCCAAGTATACCTAATTAATATACCTAGTTGATTGTACGGTAATGATGATTATGCGTGTTTGTCGTGTGTGGACAAACGAAGGTAGAAGAACGCGAAGAATATCAACTGGTCAACCTAGGCGTACCACAGAGCGTCAAGTTAGGCGCTTTAGATTACTGGCTCTGCGAAACCGTTTTGCTACTACGCATCGAATTGCTGACCAATGGTTTGGAGTAGTAGGTAGACCTGTTAGTATGCGTACACTGTACCGTCGCATTCGAGCCTTTGGGCTGGTTTCATTCCGCCTACGACTAATGCTACGACTTTCACTGTGGACCAATATCAATCACGATTCTATTTAGGACTGCATGATGGTCGTAGAATGGTCGCCGTGGTTTATTCGAGGCAATATAACAGCTGCGCGTTATGTTGATGGCATCTTACAAACCACTTTACTGCCTGATCTCGACGGCTGTCAAAACGTTCATTTCAGCAAGACAACGCGCATCGCTATATTCCTCGTCAAACTATGGACTTTCTCCAAGAAGCTGCCGTTAATGTTTCCTATCTAAAATGTATGGGATATGATGGGAAGCAGACTGTACACTTTGCACCATTCTCCACAGACTCTGGCACAGTTAATACATGAAGTTCAAGTCTCTTGAAACGGGGTGCCACAAGCAGACATTGATTTTGTCAATGCCTAGACGTCAAGATTGTATTTAGCTGCGGGGTCGCCAAACACATTATTAATTTTTTTTTGATTACTTGTTAATTAAAATTCTTGAGAACAACAAATATATTACAGGACATATCTACTAATAACCAAAGTAAACTTTGCTTTTCTGGTCTTTTTAAGGTAAATATTTTAACAGTGTAAGACAAATCTAACTTTCTAAAATATCCGTATCAATTTATCCGTAGATAATTTTTTATTTTTCAAGATGTCAAAATTAAGTTTTTTGAAGTAACTACTGTCACAGGTAATGTTAGAAAAATTTCATCATATAAATCTTGACCTACAATGTCTTTTTAATTTTTCGCTGAATTACATACAATATTTTTAAGAGCTTTACATTTTGTGGACCTAATTGATTTTTCCATTTTAAAGAAATCACGATGCTTTATTTTTTAGATTTAGAACCTTTCTTCCAATTTTGATACGCTGTCTGGGTCATCGAGCAAAAAGACAAAAGAGGGAATCTAATCGTTATGAAAAGGAGACCAAAAAATTTAAATTTTCTGACACTTATTAACAGTAGCTATAAAATAGTTTTCAGAATGTGTCTTAGAAAGATTTAATTAAATATTAACGATAACAGTCTAAAATACGAAACAATTGTTAAAAAACTTCAATATAAATAAGATTTCATTTGACAGTTGGGACAAATAATAACATAACCCAACTAAATTTGATTTCTTAAACAAAGAAAGACTCTCTTTCCTCGTTTAATTTGGCCTCTCAAAATGGCACTTCCTGTCTAACAATATTTTTGCCCCACTACCTTTACATTCCCTCTTTTGTCTTTTTGCTCGATGGTCTGGGTCGTCTGGGTACACGCACACGCTAACTTGTACGCAAATCGAAAAGTTAGATACACGCGAACGAAACCTCATCAAACCAGTGACGTCAATTTTCCAATTTTGGTGTGTTTAGTGTCCGTTTGATAGACAAATATTTGTGATTAAGGGAAGGGAAATAGAACTATTGTTTCAAACTTAATTGTAATAAATTAATGTGTATATAACAATATATATTCAGGTTAACAAAATATGCATTTAGTTGACATGGCATGTACAAAATACTGTTAAAATAATTTTTATACTTACCTAAGATAAAATTATTATTGTCAAGGCACAGAAAATTATTTTTAAATTCGTTCTCGCTTTATTCCAATAACGGTTTGGTCGGCACCTTTAGGCCTTTAGTTTTTTTACATAAATTTCAAACGGTTTCATATCGTCTGTCGTCGCTGTCCGTTCTCTAAACTTCTCTTCCATCTTATTCTAGCTAGGCACATCTCGTCATCCAAGTTTCTTTCATTCATTACGTTCTTGATATTAGTTCCCAGCATCTTACACATTTCCTACTTTTGTGTGGTTTCCAATTCCACACTGCTTTATGAAGTCTCGACGCATAGATAACGTTCAGTAGGGTTATGGGTCTGTAATTCTTTATATTCATTCTGTCCTCTTTTTTAAATAATTGCAACGTTAGTGCCTCGTTATAGTTATTAGCTATCTTTGTCGCTAAAATTTTATTCATTCAGATATTGTAAGAACCTTAAGTTGGTATTTGCATTCCATGATTAAATGGCGTTGATCCAAGGATACCTATGCCTTATTTTATTATCGGTTTGTTATTCTTCATTTCTTTCAGCACTTTTTTTGGTTTCACATTTACTAATTTCTGGTTATGGGTCCCAGTTAAAATGTTTTCCCATGATGGGGTGGTTCTAAGTAGTAGAGAACTTCTGTACCAGTCTTTAAAGTTCTTATTCTTTTACATTATATTAAATAGTCTCCTGTCTTTCTGCCAGAGAACATTTATCTCCAAAATATGGAGATAGATTTGTTAACAGATTTATCAGAAGACGCAAAACCAAGCAGGAGAATTTGAAATATAGTAAAATGTCTTCATTGTTGATAAATCTTTCTTTTAAACTATAAATTAAATTAAAATGATGAAAAGGTTGCCAATGTGAGTCCATAATACTAGTATATAGGAAATAAGTCAATACTCACAATCTTAAGTAGTCTTTATTTTTATTGATGGTAAATTTTGGCTACCGGTTCAAAGGCTTACAATATATGCCCTATCAGCAGGCCCTAGTATGTTAGTCTTTGTTTAGTTAAAACTACAAGATATCATAAATGCTTTATTAACAAAGGTAAACTGACAAAAAAATCATCCGCCTCAAAGAATCCATTCACCCACTCGAAGCTAGGAATGGTATAAATATGCTTGGATCTCAAGCCGCATCCCGTTCTCTTGATTTCTACCTAGCGGGAGACTGGTTGGGCTTAGAGGAATCTGACAAATGCCTACAACTTTTTTAATTCTCAGTGACAGTTTTCAATTTATACAAATGATTAGATTTTGTTTATTCAAATGGACGTTTTTAAGACGCAAATAATGAGAAAGCGTTTTACCCAAGGCAATTTGAAAATAATCACATTTTGTTTAGTCTCATTCGAAAAGATACTAGAGTGTTTTTTTTTCGAATATTTTTAAAACGCAAATTAAAATATACAAGATGGAATTTGAAATACGTTAATTAAAACTTCACAAAGAAGGGAATTTCAAAAAAGCTACACACTTTATGCACGTTTTTAGTTCTATTTTCGAGTATTTGCTACTCCATATTGTATCGTTGAGTCATTCCGTGTTCTGCTTATTTTTCTCACTTGTGCTCTCAGTTGTTCAATAATATTACGCGATTACTTACTTCAAAGGTATTTAAATTCCATTACCAGTTGGTTTTCAATCTACAGTTTCTATAGGAATCTATAGATTGGTTCTTTTTGATACTATTAGAATCTTTGTTGTTTTGTGACGTATATTTTCATGTTCAATTCCTTAACCTTATTCCACTGATTCACCAGTTGAATACTGAACCAGTATTCAACTGATGAAACATTCTTTGTAGGTGGTCTTCATTCTCCGCTATTACAACTGCGGGATCTGCATGTCGTATTCTGTATTTGTTTGTTTCCCATATGATATTCTGTTTTTCTTTTATCTTTATTCTCCTTCAAAGCATTTGTATTGTGTTACAAGCTTTGATCACGTTATAAACGTTTATTATTATTGTATGCCATTGATAAAAGCGTCAGACTCACATTAAAATGATTCGTACCTACTCTTTTATAAGTGACTGCGATCAGAATTGAATGCTTCGTTATTTGATTAAAGAATAAATAAAGCAATTTAAATATGTTGTATAATTTTTATTAAAAATAAATACAAAACTTTATCATTTGTATTTTTAAAATAATTATTTTTATTCAAAAGAAACGCTGAAGTTCGGAATGTTTTAAACAGTCTTAATATTTCAGAAAGTCGATCTTACTTCACACATTAACTGGAACATCTGCAACGTCACAGCTGAACTGAATAACTTTTTGTGGTACATTTGTTTTACTTCGAACCTAAAATATATTATTGAGTTTGTTAATATATAGTTATTATTTATTAGTTAATATATAATTATTTTTAACTAGGGAAACTATATTTATTTCAAATATGCTACAAAAAGTTTAGGAAAAAATGTACCACGAAAAATAAATTGGGTATAATGCATTTATGTATTCTTCATCTCCCAAATAATCTATGAGTGTGGGAAGAAGACCAGGAAACTTCCCTTGTATATGGGGTTTTCAGAAAAGCATATGATCTTTCCTCAACAAAAACTTTGGGAATCACTACATCAAACGAATATAAATAGCGCCCTTATAAGAGCTGTCCAGAAACTGTACTAAAACAACACCGCCAGAATAAATTAAGAGTCTCTTTCAAATAATTTCAAGGTCAACAAAGGACTAGTTGTTGTCAACAAAGGTTGTCACTCCAAAGATGGGATGACTTTCATAGAAGTATTAATCCGCCAATGAACAAGCAGAAGTGCTTATAAAGAGAAAGAAGAACAAAGGACTAAAGCAAAGATACTGTTTGTCATCGAAGCTTTTTCAAATTTATATAGAAAAGGCTTTAGAAATTTGGAAACGAAGATGTAAAAATATAGGTTCTCAGTAATATAACAATGTACACATTATGCTTTGCAGATGACCAGATACTACATGTACAGGATTGTGAGGATGCTGAATATATGATGAGAAAATTAATAGAAGAATAAAAAAATGAGAAATATGATGAGAAAATTAATAGAAGAATAATATAAGAATAAAAAAAAATGAGGCTTAGAGGTAAGCATCGACAACATGGAATACATGTGTATCGGTGGAGAAAAAAAGCATGATACTAAATATTTGGGCATGTATTTTGTTTAAGTATCCAAAACAAACTTCTTGCCTATAAGGCAATACTACGACCGAAATGAATGTACGGGATTCAAATCGGGGTAACTGGCAGTAATACTAATATGCAAATACTACAAAGATTCCAATCCAAAGTCCTTCGTGATGTCTGCAATGCCCCAATCGATGTTATTAATCATGACCTGAATGATGAAACAGTTAAAGAAGCAATCACCACTTAGAATACAAACTACTTTAAGAGACTATCATTTGATCCAAATCCGCGCGTCAACTACTTCCTACGTCATCACTGCTGATAAGACTTAAAAGGTTGGATCCTCTAGACCACTAGGAACTAGATAGAAGTTACCCATTTATATAAAAGTCAAAAATGTGGTAATGTAAACTAAATATAGTATATAGGCTACATCACTTAGTGTAGCTCCCACTGTGTCACCTTTTCTGTCTTTTAAACATATTGTTTATTGTTATATTGATAACAGATTGCAATAAATGAATGAAGTTAAATAAACTTTTAAATATTTACCCAGCATTATTAAAAAGTTCTCTACTTCCTTCTTGGCATTCACTTATGGCGAGTTCAATGCTATTAAAATGATTATGCTTACACCAATCTTTTACGACATTTACCAATTTTAATCCTATTCCTTTCCGTCGGTATCTACAAAATAAAAGTTTAATCAAATAAATAAATAATAATAACAACTTAAAAAAGTTAATGTTAACTAGGAGGAGTGCCGACAGAAGTAAAAACTTATGGCATGCCTGGCAGATATCTTCTATATTGAAAAAAATTATTTAATTTCACTAAATCTTAAAATGCAGTTTAAAATATTTACGCTTGTGTCGTCTAAAATCCTTGGTTTTTATTTACTTGCTTAAATTTATTTAAAATAACTATGTATTATTTTTGTTGGGAATAAGCCACAATTTTACTTTAAAATTAAGTTTATTTGACGTTTCCATTTCCACATTGAAAAGCGTTCTCAAATTACAAAACATTAATAAATTAAACAAATTTTGGTTTTGTTCCTTGGTAAAAAATTCGGCTAATAATTTATTTTTTTTCTGACTCATTGATATTGACAATCCAGACATATGAGCGCCCTAATATAAGAGTGTTTTGAGATAAGAGCCGCGGAGCGAGCGATATTTTGCTTTGAGATGAGAGCAAGATTCGAGATACGATACAAGAATCGGTTTTTATTCAAATTCATGCCTCTGATTTGACTCCTTCTAATTTACTTTGTAAATAAAAGGTAGTTTTACTGGTAATAGATCTTTACGGCCTCGCCATAAAGATCATTTTTTGGGTATGTACGTGACTATTACTTGGACCGACAATTTAAATGGTCATTAGAAGTTAAATCCGACAAAAATTCGGATTCTATACTAACCATTTTGCTCTCTCGATGTCGATGTAATTTACACTGTGTAAATTTTTACTATAAACCTCAGTCAGTCTGCTTTGCTTTTTCCCTCATTTTCGAAGTATTGTTGTTAAGTTGGATTCGCCTTTTTGTACGTTACAATATTTATTTTTACAACCATGGGTACGAAGATGATGTCTATTGAACTAAAACGTGAAATCATTGAAAAACATGAGCAAGGTGTACAAGTAACTGACTTGGCGAGGATGTACGGCCATACCACATCAATGATATGTACTGTACTTAAACGGAAGGAGGAGATACATGGTATAATGCCAGCTAAGAGCGTTACAATAATTTTTAAGCTCCGGGCTTCTCTCCATGAAAAGATGGAGAAACTACTAATGGTGTGGGTGATAGAGAAGCAGCTTCAAGGAGGAACCTTAACACAAAGCATCATATGTGAGAAGGCACGAGCGATTTACCAAGATTTGCTGAAGCAGATCCCACACACTTCCACAAATGATGAATCGGAAGACTCGTTTAAAGCCAGTCGGGGCTGGTTTGACAACTTTAAAAAAGGACCGGCATTCACTCTGTCGTCAGTCATGGTGAGGCAGCAAGTTCGGATGTGAAAGCAGCTGAGGTTTACATCAAAACGTTTTCCGAACTGATAGAAGCCAAATAATACATCCGTAGCAAGTCTTCAACTGTAACGAGACAGGGATTTTTCTGGAAAAAGATGCCGAATAGGACTTACGTAAAGGCAGAGGAGAAGATGATGCCAGGTCACAAACCTATGAAAGATAGATTAACTCTACTACTTTGCGCCAATGCGAGTGGCGACTGTAAAATCAAACCTCTTCTAGTATAGCATTCAGAAGATCTCAGAGCCTTTAAGTCACATAAGTTTTTAAAAGAAAAACTGCGACTTATGTGGAGAGCAAATCTAAAGGCGTGGGTCACCAGGAAATTCTTCTAGTGGATAAATCTGGTGCCACTTCTATTAAAAAATATCTACATCAAAACAACTTACTCATGCAAATCCTTCTTGTCCTCGATAATGCCCCTTCTCACCAACCAAATCTTCAAGATGAATTACTCCAAAAGTTCAAGTTTATAAAGATTCTCTCTACCTACCAGCCAACACCACTCCTATCTTGCAGCCCATGGATCAGCAAGTGATTTCAAAATTTAAGAAGTTGTATATCAAGCACATTTTTTGGCGCTGCATTGAGGTGACAGAGAACAAAAACCTTACCCTTCGAGAGTTCTGGAAGGACCATTTTAACATAGTAATATGCCTAAGAATTTGTCAGATAACTTATTCTGTTCAACCTCAAAAAATGGTTCCACATGCTAACAAAGAACTAAAAGCAAGAATTGTAACGAAATTAGAAGATGGTTGGTCATTATCTGCTGGCGAACCATAATACTGTAAGCAAAATAAGAGTTTTTAATATTAATAAAAGATGAGTGATGAAAGATCTTTTTGGAGAACTTAGAAGAGAATCCTTTTGAGGATGCGAAAACTGCAAGAATTATGACACAGTTTTCGGGAAGAAAGACAACAACTTGACGCAGAATTAAAGCATCCGCCTTAGGTACCGAACTGCTGCTGCTGCAAAAAAAACAAGCTTCTCTTCCATTTTTTATTAACAGAAAAACTGTGGTTCCGCTTATGTGAAAATGTTTTGCTACCTCTGATAGTGCTCAGTTATCTTTTAATTTGGTTACAATTCTTGCTTTAATATATTGTTGAGTTTTATGTAAAAACTATCATTTATATACTCTTTATAAAATGCAAGAATTCAAAATAATATCAAAATTTAGAACTTAATAATTATTACAATTTATGAATTAACATAATATGTAGGTAATCAACTGTTTGTTTATTTATTTTATTATATGTCTGTCATAATAAATATAATACAATGTCAGACCAATCAAATACACTGCTCAAAATGATCAAATCTTACCAAGAGTCATATTAGTTTTTTTAAGTACCAGCTGTAAATATAACAATTTTTCCCTATCTAAAAAAGTTTACCAGTTTACACTAAAAAGCTGACCTTTTTAGTGAACAGGCAGGTTTTCCGTCAAATAACACAGCCAATTTGAATCACCTAGTAAAATTAGTCTAGCTTCTACATATTGCACATTTTCACTAATTATTTAATTGATTAAAAATTTAGCAGTATCATCAAAACACTAATTTTTATCTCAGATTTTATAAATTAATTTTCTTGTATAAGACTATATGAAGGGATACAATCTCCATATTTAAAATTCTTCTTGTATCAATCTTGAACTTTCAAATGAAAAATATCTTGGCTAAATATTAAAAAATATTTTTTGGTATTGGTTATGGTTTTTCAATGACCAGTGGCTTGTAGAAGGTTATTTAATATAACTCTGTGAGGTATTTAGTAGTGGAAAAAAATTCAAGGAAGTCATTGAAGCATATTTTTTTCTATTTCATTGAAAAAAATTGCATCAATAAAAATCTTGATAAAATTTTTATTGTATATTTCTTACCTTTGGTCAACAACTAATCTGAACAACCAAGCCCAGTCTTCTTTTTGTAAATGCTGCATCACAGCTATTGTCCCTATAATCTAGACAAGAAAATATATACAAATAGAAAATAATAATATATAGGATAGATGATAAAAGAATTAGGATTATTGTTTAACCATTCGACCTGCATATAATTGGATTATTATACATCTTTCATTTTATTCATGATATTGAGAGCTTATAAAGGTCTAGTAGATATGTACCATGTATATTTGCAGTCACTTGGTGGTTTCCAAAAATTGTTTGCAGTGCCTCACAGTTGTCCAAGATATAGTTGACTGTTTAAGGTTCTCTGCTATAGATTCTGGAACTTAAGTTTCTATGAACTGCCCCATTGTATGCAGATGTTCTGACTATCATATGTCCAGTAAGAAAACTTGTTATGATTGTGAGCTGATTCCTGCTTATTTTCCGTAGAACTTCAGATCTATTAGCATATGTCCATCCAATATACATTTTGCCATATGTGTTTAACCAGGTGAGAGTTATGATATGTTTAGATTCATTCTTTTTTTTAGTCACAATTTCTTTACCAAAAATACAATATTTATTTTCACATAAATATTCCTAAATAGGATTTATAGACTCATTGCTTATCCAAAAATGGGCTTTTCACCTCACTGTAGCTTTGATTGTGAAGATTTATTTATGCCCAATCAAACTACAATTTTCTTTACTTAATTATTTTTCACATGATTTTTAGCAATAACAAATTGTGACATCGCAAAGCAATGCTAAAAAGGCAATATAAACAAAACAGTAGACCCTTTACATATTACTGATTACACTTTTACCTCATAGAAAGTCTTGGAACATTTGAGCTTGAAGTGATAAACTAAAATCATATACTGTTGGCATAGGCCTAATATATTCATTTATGAAGGACTATATACCAGATAACATAGCAGAGATGTTTTGGTGTTAGACTTATGTGACGATATATAAGGTACCATTTTAATTTACAGGTAATGTAAAAAATATGCTTACTACACAAAAAAATCTTTTTAAAAATCATACTAGTTACATATTTACCTTTCTATGATAGCCTTCCTTATTAATAACCTTCATTTCAATATCATCTTCCTGGATAATTTTATACCAACAGGTTTCTGGTTTCTTCATAAAAAAATAAGGTTCATATGCTTCAGCTACCCAACAGTTTAAGGTTGGTTTTTCGTACAAAATTTGGGCAGATTTCATAAATAAAGATAAGTATATAACAATATATGTACCTAATAAAACAATGGGTATTGACATCAAGCTATATTGCAATGGTACTCCAAAACATATATAAAGAAAGGCAGATGATAGCACCATTAATTGGAATGTTATCTAAAATTTTTATTGTTTTATTATTATTATTATTGTTAATTCAATAAAGTGTGTAGAAAGCAATTACAGTGGAACCTCGATTATCTGTCAGTGCACCGGACCAAGGGTATGACAGATAATCAAAAAGACGGTTAACAGAACAATAAAAAAAATCATAGTATAACTCTCAAATTTTTTTGTATGTTTTATTCAACAATATAAGAGGGATTTATGTTAGTACAGTCGAATCAATTTGATTTAAATTATTCAGAAATCTTTGTTTGTTTTATTGTTACTTCACATTTTGCAATGGCTAAATTTCTTAATCAATGTAAAAACATTAAATCTTCCTTATTTGCTTCTTCTTGTCGAGAATACCACTTGATGATGAATACCACTATCACTCGCAAATCTTTGTGACTTGTAATAGCATAATCAACATCGCCACCATCTAAGTCGGCTTCTAAATCAGTCTCGTCTGCCTCTGTTGCCATTTTAACGATTTTATCGTCTGTCAGCGATTGATAGTTGTTTGCGTCCTCATCACAAATTAACCATTAGTTTATGTCATCTTTAGGTAACGAAAACAAAACAGTTGATTCAGCCATAATTTCATTTAAGTGGAGCATTTTTCGTCTTAAATTGATTCAAGCCATAATTTATTCCAGGCTCTTTTCAGTGTTACTTCTGAAACATCAGCCCAAGCATCCACAGCATTGTCGACTGAGTGTTTTAAATTGTATGCTTTCCAGCATTCTGACAAAGAATATTACTCTTCCTAACTATGTTTTGAATAAATTTTTTCCTGTATCTTCTTTTGAATGGGTTAATGACCAAATGATCCATTGGTTGTATCAATGATGTATTTGCAAGCAGAAAAGAGTATGTGATATTTTTATTGTTACTCCGCAGCATACTGGCTTTAGGATGGGCAGGTGCATTGTCCAAAATGAGAATTGTCTTTGGTGGAAATTTTTTTGAAAACAAACCGAATTGATGACTAAATTTTTTACTTATGTTGTCAATATAACTTATGTATGGACCCTGATGGTTAACAGAGGTGAGGGTTAATAGAGAGATAGATAATCGAGGTTCCACTGTACTGTATTTCATGTGATTTACTTCAGATTTATCAGAAGTCACATATATGTTCAGTAAATACTAGTAGACCTACGGTTATATATTCCAGTTTTATTCAATATAAAGTAAATATGTACTACAATATGACTACTTTTTTAATATCTAGCAATATGAAGATTAGAAAAATTCATTAAAAGATAAAATCATCATAAATAAGACAAATATTTTTGCAAAACATTTGAATACTAATATGAATCTAATAAAACCTTTAATTTACTAATGATACTGACACCAGCTTAAGTCTTAGTATAAAAAATAATTTGGTAATTAAGTAGATGGAATCAGCAGGTTATAAATCAGCAGCAATAATGGAATCAGCAGGTTATAAAAACAAATTTTGCAGATATTGCATATTATGACTAGTTCTGAAATATAATCTGGCTTTCCAAATATTATTAAGAAACTGTTGTATTTAGAAAATACCTCTTGAAATAAAGCATTTATCCAAGAATTTGTAACAGTAGACAAATAACCGCTACGGACAACTTCCGATACTGCAGGAGTGTCTTCATTTCTTTTTTCTCTAATTACGATATAATAACTCATAACTAATACAAATAATTAAACTTAGAAGGAATCGTATTTTTACTTATAAAATACAAATATCAACAAAACCTAAATACTGTGGAATAAATAAATATGGTATAATTCGTCTTCCTTTCGTTTTCGTTGATTGTCAATTTGTGGCCTCGACTACAATCATATTCAGTGACTTCGTGATAGGTCTTTCGTCAGGCCACAGAATTTATTATTCTGTGGTCAGGCCCTGATCACAGAATAATAAACAATCAGAATGCCCACTCTGCTTGAAAAAATAAGTACGCGCATCTCGTTCGCGCAGGCGGAATCAGCCATGTTTTAGTCGGAAACAATGCTGTTCAGTGACATTTTATCTGGTGTGCATAGACAAATTAACCCCGTTTAATTTTTTTACAGCAACTATGGACATAATATGCACCATTTTATTCGTAATGTTCGTTGAAGAATAGATTAAATTATTTCGAATGTATTAAATTTTTAATCTCTAAAAATTTAAATCACAGTTCTGTCGTAGCACAGAATACTCCATCCGTTTTTTAATTTTGACCTTCATTCGTCATTTTTGCAATAACAAATAAATTAAATTGAACGTATACCGGCTTAAATTGAAGGTCTTTTAGAGTACTTTCATAATCTATATTAACCCCCTCTGTGGCTCAGTGGTAAGAGCGCCTGCCTTTAAACCTAAAGGTCGTGAGTTCGAATCCCACCTGGGTGGAAATTTTCGTTTATTAAAAAAAATTAATAAATGAAAATAATTTCTATCCTTGTGTGATCGGTACACACCGGAGGGACCGCAGACGTTCGGATACAATTAGCGTCTCTTAGCAAAGACAATGACGTCAACTTTGCTAAGTATCAAGACAATTACTCTACACACACACACACACACACTACACCTCAAATTGTAAGATTGGCGAATGGATTTAGTGTCCGCAGTAATTTAAACACAAACAAACAACAACAATAATCTATACAGAAATTACCCATTGCAACACTTACTTTAGTCAAAAAATGAAAAAAACTCAAAAAATACGTATTTTACACCCATAAACGCTCATAAATAAACTGAAGTTGCCCTTTATAGCCCAGGTCACATTACATAAATTCCTGGATTAGAGAGTACCTACTTTTTCCCTCACAGCCTAGGCTAGAAACCTTACTCTATCTATCTGGATATTCACATACTGTGGCTGGAAGATTTAGGCAAATAACCATCAACAGATACGGCAGCACCTACTAATACATACTTTTGATTAGTTTGAATAATTACTAAATACGCTGTATCTCTTTCGACATAATATTATGGCCGAAATCACTATCTTATATATTTTTTTTCTCTTAATTTTCATATACTTACGCATTATTTTACTAGTTTTTTTTTTTGTTTCAGATGTAAATTACCACATGAAACAGATAATTCTAGTTATCATTTAAATGACACGACGTTGTCTTTGTATTATCCGATAGATACTCTCCACAAAAAATACTCATCTTGCGAGATTTATGATACAAATAACAAAACCAAACCATGTGAATCTTATATTTTTGATCATGAAATATATGGATATACGTCTGTGATAGAGGTAAGTTTATTATCAACTTTGTTATTAAAAAATCTATAGTTTCTGTCAAAATATAAGAAATTTTGCCTGACGCTGGTGGGATCACCCTGCCGATTTAGTATTATAATAACAAACAACAGACCCCCCAGAGAGCGGATTCGCTAAAATAAACAAAAACGTTCAAGTACAAATAATATTTTAATAGGGTTGGAATAATAAATATAAAATTAAATATCGTATATATTTAATACGTAATATATTTATATCTATGTAGGTATAGGTATGTTATTATGTACAATGAAATAAGAGAAATGAACAAATTAAAGAAATTAAGGAAAATAATGTTAATAATAGTAAAAAATTAAAAGAGTGGTAGCAAAAATCAGAATTAAAAAAAATAACATAATAAAATTAGAAACAATAATGTAAAAAAATAAAATTTGAAGTGGAAGATAGAAAAAAATAATTACAAATTACAACTCTATGTCACTATTGCTGTCATCTTCAGTAAAATCGTCATCATCTAATGTTATAATTATTGGTTTAATATGTGAGGTTAATGTGCTGTAATAATCTTTGGTTTTTATTACATGTGAAACACAATTTTGTCACAGTGTTGGGGAATCTTTTTTATTTCTTCTACAAGATGTGATACCGATTGGCTACTAAATTTGGGACAGCAGTTGTTTCGCCGTAAACTTCCCTTAAGTTGGCTTGAGATTAATTCAATAGGGTTGAAAACACAGTAATAAGGAGGTAATCGCAATATAATATGACCATCACGTTTGGCCAATTCGTCTATAACAAACTGTTTCTCAAATACTTTTGTGTGAAGAACTTCCAACATTTCTTTTTTTGATATGTTTCTTCAAAGTACAAATCATTTTCATACAAAAAATCCGATATTTGTTTTTTCGTCGAGCCTACACTGGGGATTTTTCTAATTTGTTCGCTGTGATACGTCGCGTTATTCATTACAATGACAGTTTTTGGAGGCAAATTTGGCAAACACTTTCTTTTCAAATCATTCCTTAAACAAGTTACTCGTCATTTTTTTATGTTTTTTGCCGGCAGTAAAAAACTTTCTCCTCCAAGCCAGCCATTTTTGGATCCAATGTTCAGAATAATTATTCGCTGGCCTCTATTAATTGTATAATTGGGATGAAACGTGTTATCGAACCATGTTTCATCCAGATAAAATATCGGTCTTCCTTCATTTCCAAATTTAGATATAGCATCCAAGTATTCGTTTCTCCAGTCGTTTCTCCAAGAAGTCGACGGAAATCCATTATTGATGATCGCATATTAATTTTCTTGTATTGAAAACCAGTGTGATTCAAAAACCTTGATAAAGTTGAAGACGAATACGTAGTAGAATAGTCTTTAACAATTTGATCGTAGATCATACTAAGCGTTGGAACTAGGTTCTTTGAATAAAAATTATAAACTACTCTTCTAATTACCTCAGCGTCTTTTTCATTTACTGCTTTATATGTAGAAAAGTCACTCCGCTTTTTACGAGGTTGAATTCTATCTGTAACAATTTTCCACATTGTTGTATATGGCATCCTTGTCAATCGAGATGTTGCCTTGATGAGAAATTTACCGTCTTCTGGATTTGGATTATCTTCTTTTACTGTTTAATAAACATTACTAATAATTTCTTTGGCATCATCAGATAAATGTAAACGTGTTTTACACTTAGCACTAGCTTCACCGATTCCTGACATTTTACTTGAATAGTCGTGACCTAACTACCGATCTAAATGCAAGAAAATAACTGCCTGAATGTGCAAATGTCCATGTGCAAACTTAAATATGTTTGCCCCCTTTCATAATGTTTCATAAATTATGTTTTATAGATAAATAAATGATATCTAATTATACCTGAATACCTATTAGCACGAGATTTATAATGTGTAAAGCTATAGAATAATAATAAGAGGGATACTTTATCTTTAACTAATATACTTGCTAATGATTTTTTTAATTTTCTTTTATTTAAAGATAGAAAGCTTCATTATCGAAAGTCCATTTTATTTAAAGCGAAGACGACATAAAACAGATACTATTTTAATTCCATAAAATTCCAGTAATGAGCCCGTTGAACATGAAAATTGTTTGGGATCGTTAATAATAATTGATTCCAAGCAACTTAATTTCAGACGAGTAAGCAAAGATGACTAATTCGTGTATAGCAAAATTGTTTTTAATATGAAGCATTGTGTAGAAATTTTAATTTTAACAATTTATATTCACTGATAGGTAACGATTCAGTTCTGTAAATAATATAAAGTCCGGTCCTAGTAAGCTGTTCCAAAATTATTGCTACCCGTCGCGTTAAGGCAATTAAAGCAATTAAGGGCTTAGTAACATCAATAGGTGTTGTTTATTAGTATAATACTGCAGTCGACTGGGTCATTCCACCAGCCTCAGGCCAAATTTCTTATATCTTGAACCAAACTATACCTATAAGTGTAACCATCCCGGTAGTTAATGTAAGAATACGGAAGCTTTATTCTCTCGCAGTTCAGATATGAACCCCCACTTTGGTGTATCTAATGCCTTTTAATTGTATAATGTATGCTGCATATTCTGTCTGTCCAAATCGTTCTTTATCTCTTTCTTACTTTAGTCTGTTGTAGTTTGTAAGCCTTGCTAGTCATGTTACATTTAAAACTTCAAAAAAAAGATAAACGTAGCTAAAATGAAAATGTTACGGTGGATGCTGGGTAAGACTAGAAGGAACAAGATTAGGACCGACGTGATTAGTGAAAGAGCCGGGGTGAATAAAGTCTCAAATACATTTAAGAACAAAGATTGCAATGGTTTGGCCACGTCCAACAGAGAAATGAGAACTGTGTAGGACGAAGGATAGAGCTTTTAGAATTTGAGCAAACAAGATAGTGGAAGACGGAGTAGAAGATGGAAGGACTGTGTGGTAGGGGACTTGAGAGAGAAAAGTTTTAATGAAGAATACATAATGGACATCATTGAACGGCGAAGACGAATAAGTAACAGCCACCCTTGAAAAAGGTAAAAGCTGAGGAAGAAGAAGTCGCCGTTAGTAATGGCCGAAGGTGAACTAATCTCATCGTCGTGGATAGGTTCGTGATGTAATTTTCCCATTTTTTTAGTTTGTCTTCTACTTCAAATATTTCTGTACCACGTTCATTCGCTCTTATGAAGATTCCATTATCCAAGCCGTGCTTATTTTACCTTTTACCCATGAACTGTCTTTTAAATTCCTTTCAGAGTTTCTTTAATGTTGTTATAACACCTTTAGTATAACCATGCATTGTTATAAAGTACGATTGTTACGCATACAACCGTATTTTACTTCTTACAAAAATTCAATTTAAAATTCTTATACTTCATCTATTTTTCTGCTGCATTGGTGCGTAAAATTCGTTGATAAATATTTAATATTAATGGAATAATATGTATTGTATTGACATTTGATATTATACTTAACTTATTAATAATGTAACTAGAATAATCAATGATTAAAGAGCTTTAACTTTTACAGTATGGGCTAACGTGTAACTCGGCCTATTTAATAGCGACATCGAATGCTCTTTTTATGGTAGGTGTAATGCTTGGATCAATTTTATTTGGAGAAATGTCCGACAGGTTGGTACAAACTATTGATAAACCAAATTTGATTTAATTTTATTTTCGCTATTGTCTGCATTTTTATTTCTTTATTTCTAAGTTTTTAAAGTGGTCAAATGTTTGATTGTAAGTAAATTTATTATTATATACGAGACGCGCATAATTTTATACGAATAAAAAACTCGGATAAAAAATTCTGCCCCACACAAGAAGAAAATTGGATAACGTGTTTATATACAATATGATCGATAATAGTCGGCATATAGAAGGAACAGTTAGAATATTCTTGAATATTCTCTTGAATATTCCAGAGAGACTCTGGACCAGATGAAATTCCTGCAGACCTAATAAAAAATGGGACCTCCAAACTCAGAAATATATTAACAGAACTTTTCAACAGACATATAAATGGATAAGATATTCAAGAAAAATAGTAAGTAATACGGTAATACGAGCCCCTTTTTATATCAGTTCGCCCAACGTTAGATTGATAAGAAAATTAAATTTTAAAGAAAAAAAATACAACCGCAGCATATAATTTGCTCGTCGAGTTTTCACTATAATGCGTCTTAATGCCCCTCGATCTGCTTCGGTTATTTTATTTTTTCGTGCATTTCTAGGTTTTGTTACGACTGAACCTGTAGGTTTGTATCTTCTGACTATATTTCTTACACTATATCGTGACAATTGCAACATATTCGCGTTTCCCGAATTGGATTTTAATAATGATTGAACAAATTTTCTCATCGATAACTTTATCTCAACCCATTCTACAATCAACAAACGGCAAAAAGATTTACAATACTACAAAATACATTTGACATTAACTGACAATATTATTGTTTTAATGTCATTTTTCCATAGCTACCTCTGGATTTAAAGTAAATGAAAAAATCAACGTAAGTTGATATAAGTGAATGCATAGCCAGGGCACATAAACAATCTGAATGTCCACTCTGCTTGAAAAAATAAATATGCGCAGTTCGTTCGCGCAGACGGAAGCAGCTATGTTTTAAACGGAACCAGTGCTGTTCAGTGACATTTTATCTGTTGTGCATTGACAAATTAACCCGGTTTAATTTATTTACGGCAACTACAGACATAATATCGTCGAGAGATAAACACAATTTTAACTGAAATTTGTTGTCGTAATTTCGTTTGGTTAATTATATCCACTTTGGAGCCCTTTTAATAACTAACTGATGGTTATGTTTGGGATAGTGATATTGTATAATATTAAAAATATTGTCTATCTCTATCCAAACGGGTTTGACGGACTTAGTTACGTTTGCCTGAAAAAAAAAGAGAAATAATCAATAATTAATTAATCTAAATAAGGAGACTTTATTTCATATCAAGATCTAAAAACAACAAAAAAGTAAATCTTCTGTTTAGCACTTAACATTAATTCCAAAACATTGATTCTCAACGCCAAAACAAATAAAACAAAAAAAAATTATTATTCTAAATCCGACCCACTCTCACTGTTTATGCTTGGCTCAGGATTCCATTGTCAGCAGATTGTGATGTTGGTAACAACAAATACCAATGGTGAAATTCGGAGGGAATGACATTATTAACACAAAACTTCTTTTTTGTTGAGAAATAGGAAGATTCGGCGAGTACGCTCTATTTAGCGTGGGTTGTCCTGAGATAGGCCTGCCACGTCCGCTGATATACAGATATTCGCCGGAATGGCCATACCTATATTTGAATATGCCTGGATTATTATATATAATATAATAGTGCATATTATGCAATTCGAGTCTATGTTTCCGTCTAAAACATGGCATTCACGTGCTGTCAAACTTCAAAGGCGGCATCTGAGAGTGGGCATTCAGATTGTTTATTATTATGTGGCCAGGGTTTAGTGAATCTTTTTTATTGTTGAAAATAAATAAAAAAACCGGAGGGGTAATGTATTTAATCAATTTTAATAAAAATGCCATATTAATTAATATGGGAACTTATAAAAACATGCAGAGTATAATTTGTTTATGCAAATAAACTTAAACTGTAAATTCGACAGGTGGACCAACTGATATGGGAAGGGGCTCGTATATCTGCAGTAAGAACTACAGATGTATTACCGTAACCAGCACCCTTAGTAGATTGTATGGAAAAATTCTAGAATTACTAGTGGAAGAAGAATACAAACCTGTAGAAATGAAAGTTTTTCAATGGTTTAATGGTAAATAAAGGTTTAAGGCTAGGCTGCAGTCTCTCCCCAACACTCTTTAAGAACTATATGGAGCCTTAAAACGATGGAGAAGATATTGTTCTGTAAGACTGTCTGTCTATGTTGGGACTGAATAAATCTATCTTGGGACAAATATTAATCAAAGTGGACAAACGAAAAACGCAATAAGAGAATAATAAAAGGGAAGAAAGTAATCTGTGCACATTTTTACAATTCACTTTTTGATATTTATATTGTGGTTGGGTGATCATTTTAATATCTGTGGCCATGTATTGGTTTTCTGCGGACTTCGGTTACATATCTTGTATCCTGTTTTGTAATTAACACATCCAAAAAATAATTGTTGTTATCGATACCTAGACATGCAAGGCGTTTGGGATGTCCTAGGATCTACTAATATCCTTAACCAGTAGACGTACTAGTCACCGGGCTACGTTTCTAGTATACGAGACGAGTTTCTCGTGGGACTACTCCCAATCTACATAATCGCTAAAAGGAAATTCTGGAAGTATAAGGTCGATTAGAGGTCGATTTATACATATCCGTACCGTGTCCGTTCCGTGTCAGTGCCGATTCCAGGTATTTTTAATGTTATATTTACGTACAACCGCGTTGTAGCAGTATGCGTACCGGGCCGAATAGAGAGGATAATGTGTAAAATAATTTCTGTGTAAAAGAAAGTTAAAAATTTGTCGGTTTGCTAGAAGATCTCACCGTGTTGACAATATTATGTGATGAAGACAATATTATGTGATGAAGAGGAAGAGCAAGAGCTGAAAAGACGAAAACAAAGAAAATGAAGTGTGGATCTTATGTGGAAAAAAAAAGACAAACCGAAGGAGAATTTAAAATATACAGAGAATTATTGGACCGCGAAACAAAATTTCTCTAATATTTTAGAATGTCGCAGTACTCTTTTTTTCTTTTTTTCTTTAATACACATAAAAACCATATTATCCTAATCGCACAACATCTCCTGTTTGTCTGTTTACCAGCGCTCGCGTTCACAAAACAATAAAATTGTGTTTATACAAGTCCGTGCGGTCCGTGTCATTTCCGTAAATCGCCAGTGCCGAAAACAAAAATATCGTTTGGGATTAATTTCAGGCCGGGAGCGGACGGACCCTGTCCGAAAAACGCCAATGTATAAAATATACTCATAAAAGTACATTATTGTTTTGTTTTTGCCGGGTACTGTCATAATACGGGATGGGCCCGGCACGGATATGTATAAATCGACCTTTATCGTCCAGCGCAATCTTGACGTGATTTGCGATAGCGAGGGGAGACGAGTGGTAGAGGAGTGAGCTCTTCGTCGGCGACCTGTCGAATGTAACAATTGTATCGGTTTCAGGTTTATACTCACGATCTATTGCTTTGACAGTGGCAACTTGGTTGCTATCATTAAGTCCTCGTAGACACTTATTAGTCTCAGGACCAGCAACTTCATATGCAGTCGTACGTTGCCATGTTACCAAATGCACTGGTAACGTTAACATCTTAATATATAAGATCAAATTCGCATCCCGTTTTTCTAAAGTTTTAGCGTTTATTATCATTATAATCGGTTTTTTTATATCCTTATAAATTTACTCTTCTTAATACTTATTAGTAAACTTAACTGTCCTGTTCATCAGTCTTTAAAAATCCTGTAGACTGTCCGCTATTATAACAATATGGTCCGCATGCGTCCGCATACCTAATGTTGTTAATCGGTGTTTCATTGATCTTTATTCGAGCTGTTTCTCGAGAGCTTTTTTTCATGATTTCTTCAGAGGGTGTTGAACAATACTGGCGACAATACACATTTTCATATGATAAAATAGGTTATTGAAATCAATATCACTAGAATCATGGAATGTTACATTTATCAGATTATAATAAATGCTTTGGCTAATAGTGTTTAATGATAATAATTTATAACACTATCTGTTTTAGGTACGGTCGTAAATTAACTTTCTTCGCATCACTTGTCCTTCAGTTGGCAGCTGGTTTATTCGCATCGGTAGCACCAGAATTATGGACTTTTACATTTCTCAGACTTATTATCGGAGCGACCACTTCTGGAGTCTTTCTAGTGGCTTATGTCATAGGCCTTGAAATGGTAGGACCATCTAAAAGACCTATAGCTGGAACTGTTTGCCAAATGTTCTTCTCAGTAGGATATATGTTGACAGCTGCGTTTGCGTATTATATAGATAATTGGAGATGGTTGCAATTTGCTTTGACTATACCTGGAGTTCTTTTCCTAGGATATTGGTGGTAAGTATAAATATCGTTAAATTTGCTGCAATTCATCGTCGTATCAAACTGGTTACACAAGGTTTCCAACGTTGCTGCTACGATTGAAAGCATTCTTGGTACCCGTTAATCAAAACGGTCACAACTGCCTAGAGTTCCTCTACGTCGCTGTAATGATTTTCTTTGAGATTCATCTTTATCTTGGAAAATAAAATATAGGGTAGGTGCGGCAATGTTGGAATACCTTTCTTCGGCAAAAACACTTGCGCAATGAATGGAGAAGAAACCGGTTCTTTTAGTCAAAGATCCAGACATTATCAGCGAGTTCGGACCACACGAAACTTAGAACTGTGAAATCACTATCTGGTTGCCAAGAACATATTTGCGATAGATGTTATCGAAAAAAAAATACCATCAACATTGCCGTCAGTCATGACTAGTGACATTCTTGCCATTCGTTGACAGCTCCCCACTGCAGACTTTAGGGTCTCTGTGTCGTATTTAAATATCCAGGTTTTTTAATATTCCTTACAATTCGGAAGTAAGATGGCTTTCAAAGGATAACGTCTTGAAAAGAATTTTTATAAATAATATGGTAATATGGAAATTTATGCACAACTGCAGCCTGAAGGTCCATTTCGTGTCAACAATAAACTAGTAGATGTGGTCAAGAGATTAGTTGAACCTTTCTATAATTCAGGACGAAATATCACTGCTGATAATTGGTTCACCGATCTAACTTTCGTCAGCTATTTGAAAAAGAACAGATTATCATATGTAGAAACAGTCAAAGCAAACAAACTTCAACTACCACCTGAATTAGTGACAAGCAGACCAATACAATCTAACTTTTTTGCTTTTAGTGAAGATTGTATTCTTGTGTTGCATGTACCAAAGAAAGGAAAAAACGTAATTTTAGAATCTAGTATGCACTAAATAAGCAATGTATGGGTAAGCTGGAGGCATTTGAGATGTGGGCGTACCGAAGAATGTTAAAAATCTCCTGGAAGGATAAGATAACTAACCAAGTTGTATTAGACAGGATGAACAAACAAAAAGGTCGTATTGAGTGTTAAAATGAGGAAACTACAATACCTGGGACATATTACACGTGGGAACAAATATCAACTGTTACAACTAATTATGCAAGGAAAGATTGAAGGTAGGCGCAGCATAGGTAGGAGAAGAATGTCATGGTTGAGAAACCTCAGGGAGTGGTTTGCTTGCACTTCCATACAATTGTTCCGAGCGGCAGCCTCCAGGGTCAAAATTGCCATGATGATAGCCAACCTTCGTAGCGGAGATGGCACGTGAAGAAGAAGAAGAAGAAGATGCACTTCGGTGACGTAGTAAATTCAGATACGCCCAAGCCAGAAATAATCAATTATTACAATCAGACAAAATCAGGGGTGGACACTGTAGACCAAATGGTATGGTAATGGTAACTCTTTCGTATCTTTTTTGGGATCCCAAACTTGATATTCTCGGCAAAATTCAGCTTGTTCATATGATTTTTAGAGGTCAAATCTCTGACTACTGGACGAATTTTATTTTATTCTAATTAATTTTTAGGTTTATTCCAGAATCAGCTCGGTGGCTTCTAACGAAAAATCGCACTGAAGAAGCTAAAAAACTTATTCGAGAAGCAGCTAAGTACAATAAAGTAGAAATTTCCGACGAAACACTCAATGAGCTTCTATTAACATCTCAAGAGACTAATAATTCTAATAAAGGCGCCAACACGTCTGTGCTGGACGTATTTAAATACCCTAATATGAGAAAGAAATCTCTTATTATATTTTTTGACTGGTAAGTATTAGTATAGTTGTGGTAGGAAATATATAAGAACGCAGATTTTGAGAGTTCTGCTTTAAGTTATAGTGCAGCGGCTGGTTAAGTTGTATATCATATATTGTGGTTTTTAATAGTTTTATAAATGAAACATCTTACATCTTAAAGCATAGGTCTTTAAAATTTGTAGTCAGTCGCTTCTTGCGATGATAGGGTTTATTTTGAACTGTTTGTATACAGTTGAAAGTGGAATTTCTGTTAAATCAGAAGTTGCTTGTATCAATAGTTTTTCATCGAAGCTGAATTTCTTATTTAAATTTTCGTACAAATTGAAATATACTTGGTGTTTTTCAGTATTTAAATGTATTCGAATCTTCTTTGCGGGTATTTTTTTGGGCATTACATTCACACTGGCACTGGCACTTTCTGCAAATCAGTGTTGATATCGTACACAATATTTTCAACTACATTGTCCAACGGACGCCATATCACTATTCAAGGTGATTAAATTTCAGCAAACATCGCTCTACACTCTACTAACGAACTGCTATGTCACTATTCAAAATGATTAAATTTCATCAGACAACGCTTCACACTCTATTAACGAACTGCTTCCCAACTAAAACGCAAGTATCCGATCAATTCTAAAAAGAGGGTATCAAACATCGCCGCAATTAAATCGTTCTATATAATGTTATCGCGACTATACTTGAATATTTTGTGTTATATCCTTTTGAGATATAAACACTTTGGTTTGTTTATATCAACTGAAGGATTCGGAGTGTGCTCTGGAACTCTTACGGAATTTGTTTGTGAGTTGTTATTATGACTGCTCTTGTGCAAATAAGCGTATTCTGCAATTACGGATGGATCAAATGGGACCATACCAGTAGCTATAAATGCAAGTAAAGTTCGTAGTGAAGTGAGCGACAATATATATAGCTGAAATACTTGGAAACTATGATCTTAAGAATGACAGATTAAATGATAACATAGGGTAAGGTAGCCTGTGCAAAAATTCCCGTAGCTGGGAGAATCTATTCAAGAAAAAATATAAGCTAGAACTAGAATAATGGTGGACAATAGAAGTTTACACGCGCTTAATGGGATGTTGACAAACAACAGCAGTAGTAATATACTGCAGTGAGACATGGACAATGACAATGTGAATAAAATTACTGGAGAACTAGGAAAGGAGTGTTCCTTTAAGGCGAAAATTGGGTCTATTAGAATAATGCATACAGCATGGTAATAAAAAATATTTGGATTCGTTGATTTTCTATTTGCTTTTAAATATTCAATTGTACAAACTATACGATTTTTTCACGTTCTACTGGTTTTGTGCGTTTTTAATGATTATTATTGATCATCATCATCATACAGATAACCCCTTCTGTGGCTCAGTTGTAAGAGCGCCTACCTTTGAACCTAAAGGTCGTGAATTCGAATCTCACCTAGGTGGAGAAATTTTCGTTTATTAAAAATTAATGAATGAAAATAATTTCTACCCTTGTGCGATCGGTACTCACCGGAGGGACCGCAGACGTTCGGATACAATTAGCGTCTCTAAGCACAGACAATGACGTCGACTTTGCTAAGTATCAAGACAATTACTCTACACACACACTCACACACACTACACTAGGTACCTGACTGTAAAAATTCACTGTACCATACCAATGACCATTAGTTGTTGACGCATTAAACTCAATAAAAAAAATCATCATACAGACTTCTGCGTCTAGAGTTGGACATAGGCGTCCCCTAATTTCTTTCAGTTCTGTCTGTCTTGAGCTTCTTGCAGCCAATTCCCAGTGATTCTTTTGACGTCGTCTGTCCATCGTGTAGGTAATCTACCTCTGTTTCTTCTGTCAGCTCGTGGTCTCCAAACTAATTTTTTTGGTCCATCGTCCGTCATTCATTCTGGCCATATGACTCGAACAGTTCCACTTCAGCGGAACTGGGCGGAGTGGAACTGAAGTGGAAGCTGAAGTAGATTATTATTTATACTAATAATTAAATTTTTTATTTCTAGTAGATATAAAAACTTTTAAAAATATATAAATTTTAGGTTTGCTAACAACTTGACATATTATGGTTTGTCCTGGAATACGAATAATTTAGGAGGAGATCCTTATTTAAATTTTGTGATATCTGGAGCTGTGGAAATACCGGGATACTCATTATTACTTTTATTCTTAAACAAATGGGGTAGAAGAAACTTAATGTGTTCTTGTATGATGATAACAGGAGGATGTCTACTTCTTACTATGCTGGTTCCGGCTGGTAAGTAATGCGGATGGATCTGTCAATTGATATAGATAAATGATTTAATCGTATTCCGGTTTTCTAGAGCTTTAACAACTTAACGCCATCTGGTAAGGATCAATGAATGAACTTCATTGAGTTCCGAGACACTATATCTTGCCGTACCTACTATTCATCGACCGACTCGATTCACTCGCGAGTTCCATTTCAAAGCCACATATCTACTTTGAATGTTATAGAGCTGTCTTTGAACAATTCTTCTTCTTCAGTGCCTTATCCGGTCCGGATATTGGCAATCATCAAGGCTATCATAGTTTTGTTGACTTCCAAGAGAATTATTCCGCAAACTCTTTCTCACGATGCCTATTCCACGAAAATGTGGTTCATGGAGCCAACAGATTTTTATCTTTCAGTCGTGATCCTATGATTTGTGCAGTATCCCTCAATAGGCTAGGTCTGTCTCTAAGTCATTTAGTTTAGCATGGATATTGGGGTTGGTCTATATCAGGATTAAATTATCTGCATCGGTTTTTTTTTCGTTTCAACTTTCATCTGATGATTGCTGTTGGATGGTGTTAAAAAAGATAGAAGAATAGGGATTCCTGGTCCATGAGGTGGAGGTCGTTTAGCAGACGGTATGTCAGGATACTGAATTGTATGTTTAACTTTCGAACGAAAACCCTTTACATTGCAACAGCAAAAGTTACAGTCGTCGCCATGGTTTTTTGGTACCCTCCACACCATAAGTATGCCGAAGGGTAAAGAGCTACGTGTACCTTTTGACCATTTTCTCAGTAGCTGGACACACTGAAAGCACACTTTGTGTGGAACCCAAGGTTTGTCCTCATCACCAATGTTTACACTGAAGTAAGCGTGATAAGCTTTCTTGATAAATTCTGTTAGGTTTTTTTGATGCTTTGATATCGTTAAATCACCAGATATGTAATAAAATATATCAAAACTCTTTTTACACTTTCCTTGATGACATTAAAATGTACTAAATACTCGGAAAACAAAATACAACTCGATGCTACAAACTCATGTCGGCATGTGTTATTGTTTCTAGATGAAAGAGTTGAAATTTTAATATTTATCGTTTTAAGGGCACCAGTGGCTTCTAATAACCTTAGCTATGATAGGAAAATTGACCATCACTGCCAGTTATGGTGCAGTGTACATTTTATCTACTGAACAATTTCCAACAGTAATCAGAAACGCGGGACTTGGTGCAGGGTCAACTTTTGCCCGATTTGGATCGATATTAGCTCCTTACATGAATGCATTGGTAAGTAATGTACCATTTTAAAGACTTCTTGAGTAGGTATGTATAACGGCACAATAAACTTTAACGATAATATAACTCTTTTATACGAGCTGTAGCCAACATAAAATCTTATAATACTAAAGTGTATGAGCCCAAACAATCAGAATGCCCACTCTGCTAGTCAAGAAACGGAATCAGCCATGTTTTAAACGGAGCCCGTGCTGTTCAGTGAAATTTTATCTGGTGTGAAAAATTAACCCGGTTTAATTGATTTACGGCAACCATAGACATGATATGCAATATTTTATGTCGTACTTTTAGTTGAATAATAGATGAAAATGATGAATAGATGAAGTGGTCTATGATGATATTTTACGTCGTCTTGAACGTTGCTGGGATCAACCCACAGTCCATTCACATGCTAAATCAGAATTCAAAAATACATTCGAAACCTTTCAAGTCAGTTATTGTCAGAGCAAATAAAACGGCGATCGGATATTACTACAGGTATTCACAGACCATTGCAGCTTCAGAAACATAAGGAGGAAAGTTCAACCAGTGGGGCAGATCCAGATGTTGCTAACACGGCCAATAAAAGAAAAAGGTGTTCTTCTTACTATGCGAAAAAGATGGAGCGTTTATCCAAATACTATTGTAAATGTTGTACCACATTTTTATGTCTTGAGCATAGCAATATTGTTTGCAATAGTTGTTATAATCGTTTTACTAATCCTTTCGCTGATGAATTTGATTAAGTTTAGCTATATCTAATTATGTGTTTGGGATATTTTGCCTTAGATTAGTATCAATAATAATATTTATTACATGTTTTTATTTTGTTATGTTCTTAATACTGCATTTATTTTATTTTCTCTTGACAATAAGTTAATTTAAATTCGCTTATTTTTTTATTAGTTATGTTCAAAATAAGCGGTTCTTCCGATCCCTATCGTTTTTTTTTCAATCTTATTGAAACATTAAACTTAAACGGATGTATCTCTGAGATACACCGCGACCTATACAGTACACTGTATGACCGCGACATCCGAAGAGTTAAGTAAAATTTGTTGTAAACTTTATACATCGTATGTTTTAATATGTATCAGATATTAGATAAAATTTCAGAAAATAATGTCAAAATATATTCATTTAAAAAATATAATTCTTCAGATAATTTGTAAATTTGTTACTATTGGCGATGTAACCAATATTACGCTGAAACCACAAGTAATATGTTTAAAGTTTATAGTAGTAAGCAATTACTGCTATTTATACGATAATTTTCTTTAATGTGACCCCATTTATCTTAATAACTAATTGAGACAAATTGATTGATCAGAATAACAAATCTTATAATTTGAGATTTTCGTATAGTCTGATATTGTTATTTATTTTCCAGCCTGCGATTCATATTACTTGAACTAATGTTAAGCTAAAGAAAATATACATAGAGAAAACTAATACATTTATTATTTTAGTCTCATGTATGGTTGCCTTTACCACTGCTAGTATTTGGAACCTGTGCATTTATAGGTGGTCTAATGTCACTGGTGTTACCAGAAACTTTAAATAAAAAGTTACCCGAAACCATGGAGGAAGGAGAAGAATTTGGAAAGTAAGTAACAATCAATTCTTATTTTTCGAATTAGTTAAGTATTTGAATGCTTCTTTAAATATATTACTTTAAATGTCTTCTACCGCCGATTCTGCATTAGTTACTTCCACATATTTGTCAATAATGCTGCCAATCTTCACAGCAAAACGCTTCCAAAGCTACTCATCTATTACCTCACATTACCACTTTCTGTCCAAGAAGCAAGCTATAGTTTTTTGTGCATTATTGATAATCCAATCACAAACTATTGATAATCCACTTAAGAACATTTTACTCTCTCTACCAAATGAAAGGGATGAAAAGAACCAAATTACAAAAACACACTACGTAAAACTGCAAACGAAGATACTCCCTCCAGCTCAAAACGTGCTGCAAATAAAATGCTGTCTACTGAAATCGATCCTAATAAAACTCTGAATATCTTTATTGAACCTAAAACCAATACAAAAAAACAAAACGAAGTCACTCCCCCACTGACCTAGCTAGAACAAAATCAGCATTCCAAATTAAATTTCTCAGTCACTCTTAAACCAATAAAGAACTTTATCAACAACCATTCCTCACTTTTTGCACTACATTTCTCACAACTTTGTTTACTTCTTGACAATGTGGTAGGTTCTGCAGATCCTATAGTCACTATCCAGGAATATATAACGTATCTCCTCTCTATTAAGCGAAAGCAAACCTTAATCTATATTAATTTTTCCAAGCGCCATCCACTTGTCTTTGAAATGTTAATTTTAAGCCTCTCCAATAAGTTGCTTTACTGACCAGGTTTACTAATGTAGTAAGTCTTACTCTCTAGTCTTACTCTCTCTTGTCTATCATCCAAAGCCTCACTAAAGATTTGTTCAGAGTACATATTAACAAGACTGTGTGACAAAACACAACCCTGTTGTACTCCACGTTTGATGGGAAGTTTTCAGTACGAATATCTCCAATTTGGATAGAGGCTACTTGATTGTAATATAAGTATTTTAGCAGATTTATATCGTAATTGTCAAGTACTGCTATTTTAAGGCAATTCAAAAGTATATCATGTTTATTCGGTCGAATGCCTTCTCGAACTTACAGCTTTTTTGTAAGAGAAATAATTTCCAAGACCTATTAAATCGAAACTTTCCAGCCAATTTACAACAAACCTCAGTTAACCTACCAGGAAAAATATGTACTCTCTTTAATATAAAAACAAACGCAAGAAATAAACAAACTACAATTCTAGATGAACACACTTCCTCCAACATGAAACGCAATATGAACTAAATATGTTTTCCTGAAAGCGTCTATAATTAATAACAAATGTATCCAAACACACTTAAAATATGGATTGAATGAATCCAGCTATTGGGTTAGGTTGAAATACAAATTATGAATATAAAAAAACAAGGCTTAGTAGGAAAAATATTTCATTAAAAAATAGCTAAAATACTGAAACTTTTCCAAACCAACCATCTCTCCTATTATCAATATTCTTGATGGTAAGCTTAGGAATGACAACCATAAGCTATATTGGGACCGTACTGTGCTTATTGATCAACCAGAAGCACATAATAGACCGGATCTCATACTAGTTTATGAATTAACTAAACACACAACATTTATTATGTGACGATACCTAACAATAATACTCTACGTATTAAATACAACGAGAAGGTCTCCAAGTACATAGATTTTGAGATAAAATAAAGAGAAGGGCTATAATGAAAAGTACCCAATACAATTATTCTCTACCATTACTGTTACTAAGAAATGAAAAATATGAGTTGTTGCGATTGGTTATACAATGGAAAGTGGAAGAAAAAAGAGGACCGGGGAAACGACGCACATCCTGGTTGAAACATTTAAACCAATGGAGTGGGAAAACAATAATAGAGCTCTTCAGAACTGGTGCAGACAGAGTAAAATGGGCCGTGATGATCGCCAATGTTCTAAAAGGATGGGCCACACGAAGAAGAAGACTATTACTGGTGTCCTCCAAAAGACCCTTCTAGACAACATCAAACAGCTCGCGACGTCCAGATGAGTTCCAACAATTTTGAAATATGTAACGTATGGGCGTCATGTTCACATAGACTCACAGAGCTCAATTCTTTTGAAACGGTAGTTATCTGGATGAGTGAATTTCCCACTTAAAAGAAGGACAGCCTTATAGCACTAAGTCTGAATTATTAAAATATTTTAATTCGGTCTGTAACATATCTATTGTGAGACACTTTCATCAGATACACCAGAACAGTTCTAGAAAGTCCTAAATATACACAGTAAAGAAATACCACACATGTCTTCACAATATGCGAGCCTACTCTCGATAAATGAACATAATTTTAATTTTAATTCTAATTGACTCTAGTGACACCATCTAGTTGGATAAATTTGTCGTAGCGCTTACGATCGCTTTGTTATTTTGTTTCTTAATTGTTTGGCGCAATTGCTGTAGATGCCTGTATATGCCTTTCTGTCTCTTTACCGGATTCTCTTAACCTCTGTCACAGTTCTGACTTAACGAAACAAATAAATTGAATCGTTGATTAATTGAAACATTGTGAATAACATTCCACAGCTGTTGGTTAAAATCGTGACGTTTTAAACCACTACTTACTAACTGGAGGTACTCTAAATCCAGTGATGCAATAAAAAATTCTATAAAAAAAAGTATTGTAGTGTATCCTGAAAATGTATATTTCTAAGATACCGTAAATGTATATACTTATGGTATATTTATCTCTGTTCACTTTCTCTGAAAGTATTCTCACCAATCCAAAACAACACATAACCATTAAGTCGATCACTACTAAATCAGTCGATCAAACCTAAATAAAATAATAATTACTTTTTCAGGAAGAAGAAGAAAAATGGTGGGCAACCTCTGAGTGAGAAGTTTTATAGCATAGACCTAGATGAAGTCCCTCCAAAACCGAATAGTTCAGAAAATGGAGTGGATGAAAAATTAATTAAAAATGGAGTCTCCTAATTATAAGTATAGCTTTTGTATATTTTATATGCCGTACATTTCATATTTATTGTTTGACCAATTTTTGGTATATAAATTGTGATATTGTAAGTTCAATGAACTCTTAACGATTAAAACCAAAAAATCATTGCCATGTGCCAAAATTTTTATTTATCACAAGCTCTGACTATCACATTTTTGTATTGTTTTGAATAAAGTTTTTTTTCTGTAATAAACTTTTATTATTATATATATTATAAAAATGGGAAGCTTTGAGAATTCTGATCAAAATCAAAAAACTAAAAATACAAAATAAGGGGCACTAACAAACAAAAGTAATCATAAGTAGAAGTGAAGTAATAAAATAAGTTAGGCAAATAATATATGAATTTTCAATTGTGTATAATGTATAATGTACTCTTGGGCTTAGGGGAGAGAATTTGAAAAACGACAAAAGAAGTTTGAAATACGACAAAGCCTTGAGCAAGACTGATCCCTATCCTGTATGTTACTTAATAGAGGTCACTAGGAAATTATTTAAAAATTCAGGTGTATTCTCTTTAACCCTAGATTACCCTGACTTGTTTAGCCGCACGTGATTACCGAACTATTGTAAATTTTACTACCTATAAAGAATACCTTGTAATTACAAAACGTATATTCAAAATCTGAACAGGAGAGTATTTATCACTATAATATAATATTTTAAAGAGGCTCACCGCATATCGCATGCTTGCATACTTGGCACTATGTAGTTGTCATTCGCCGTTTTTGGCTTGTACAATAAAAGCAAATTTTTCTTTTTCTATCTTGATATGTGGGAACTTCTGCAGCAGGTATCTTTAAAATGTGAGCTATATCGTGACGAATATTCGACGCAGAGTAGCGGTTGCGAATCTTTGTCTCATCCATAATTCGGCAAGAGACTGGCTCAATCAACCAGGTACTGGTACCGAGATACGGGCTTTTCACCTCGTTTTAATGTGTTGTATGTGTAAATGACATAGGACTTAATACTGGCTATATTAACCATATCATAAAATACACACAACGATCATCTTCGGGTTTTCCTGTTACAGCTCATGTTGGAACACATTTGGTCAAAAGTATCTACGCATGATTTTGTGTTATTGTAATTTTTTATAATTACAGGATTGCCTGTTTCTTCTGATACTTCTGCCGTTTCGTGCAAAGTTGAAAGCAGTAAAACTAATTTCTGTTTTTTAGGAACGTAAGATAACAAAGTTTTCTTCTGATCAAAACAGAACATCGAAGTTTGCATTTCGATCTTTTAGTGCCAACATCTCTGTGGGAATTTCTTTTTTTTTTGCGAAGAGTACCTAATGCTGTTAATTTATATGTCCCTTGTAACAGTTCATCGACTAGGTTCACTGACGTAAACCAGTTATCTATGATTACGTTCCAATGTGATCCATGGACAGATTTTGTCAGTTCTTTGACATAATGCTTTGCTAGTGGCAAACCATTGGTATTAGTTTTTTTCCCAAATAGGCACTTTCATACAACATATATTTACTGGAGGAATCACATTCATAACAATCTTAATCCCGTACTTTGAAGGTTTATTGGAGATGTACATCCTGAAAGGGCATCTTCCCCGGAATCCTAGCAGTTCAATGCGACATCTTTCAATAAAAATATCACATATTTCGCGGATATGAGTGAAAGGATCATTTACTTGTCTCTCTTGCCTTGTTTACTTCTCGTCAAATCTTATACAATTTAGTAGAAATGTAAGGCGATTACAACTCATACACGCTGTATAAGACGTTCCTGAAATGGAGGTGTTAAATATATATTTTGCAGATAAATGGTTATCTTTTTTGCTGCAGAAAGGACAAGAATTGTAAGTAAGGCTCTTAAATCTTCAATTGATATTTGAGACACATTTTCATGATTATTATGTTTCTCAGCTTGTCTTACAATTTCTGTATTTTTATGTTGCAAAATAATTTCAAGTGACGGTGGTAAGAAATGCAAGAAGTGTTTATTAAAAGTATTACAGTTTTTAGCGGTATCTCTGGGACCTAATACGAAGTGAATAAGATTCCTTGCAACTGCCCTTCTTGATTTATGGGGAACTTCGGTCGACCACTTATGACCATTCTTACTCTTAAAACTTTTTTTCGTGGGACCACTACATACTTTAATTTTCCAAATATCGACGTAGAAACTTTTTCAATATCCGAAATGGCATCTTGCCCTGTCGGTTCATTAGAACAAGGAGATACAATCAAATCTTCGACAGCTTTATTATCCGAGTGTGAAGATTCTATCTCCAGATTATCTTTCACTGTCATCGAAGGGATCTGAGTCAAAGTCTTCGCTGTTCATAATACGCGCAGCCTCTTCTTCCAGTTCTTTTTCTGTCAGTGGCCTTTTGGAATCTATTTTACTGAAATGAAAAATATATTGTTCTGAAGCTATTTCCTTGGGGTATCTTATATAATGTACTATTTTATTTGGGAATATAGCCACAATGTTAGTTTGAAATAAATTTATTTGACGTTTCGACTTTCATTTCGGAAATCGTTATCAAAATACCGATTTCCAAAGTGGAAGTCGAAACGTCAAATAAATTAATTTCAAACTAAAATGTTGGCTGTATTCCCAAATAAAATAGTAAATTCAAAATTTATGTTTAATACAAGAATACAAAATAAAATAATGAGCTAATAACTTTTACCTCTATGAAATTTATTCGATGACGATGGAAATTGCCAAAAAAAATGTACAGCTACTAATAAAACTATTGTAGATACCGAAGCTTCGTAAAATTGACGACGAAGGTGTAAAAACTATATTGCAGAAATTTTAAATGGTACAACTGCACACGACACTTTCTAGCTAACGACTTTTGAAGGTAACGATATGCGGATCGTAAAATTTAGGAATGTCCGGTAATCTAGGGTTAAGATGGCATAACTCCATGTATAGGCCTTTTTATCTTGTTAACCAGGGCAAGCGCAGCCGTCATGTTGAAACGACGGCACTTCAATAGTTTTTGTACTGTTTTAATGAATAATGGTTGAGAACGAAGTATTATCTTCACAATCGAGTCAATCTTTAGAGAAAATCGTTGATGGGTCTTCACGTATTGATAATTCCGTTAAAGCATACAATTGTATGCAATTAAAAAGGTGGCTCAAATATCATGGACTCATCAAAAATGAACAAGAAGTGAGCTGATTGAGATGCATCATTACTTGTTTAATACCCATATACAAATAATATCTATATTTTTTTATTCATTAATGATGTCAACTGATTTTCATTATTTGCCTAATAGTCTAGGGGCCCTACCGTGGCCTTTTTAATTCTGATGGGTCCACCCAAGTTTTTTAATGTACCTATATTTGGCTGCTTCGAGGGTGGATTTCGATCCAAGTCGTCAAACAATTTTATTGTCTATACTCAAGACTTTAGCTCGTAAACTAAGAAATAAAAAATATTTAAATAAATTTTGTTCCTCACAAAAAAATCCAAGGAAATGGCGTTTACTAAACTTTAATCTAATAATTAGAAGGTCAGACAGATATAGACTATGGACCAGAATAAAGGAAGCCATTGAAGCAGCAGCAAAAAATGAAATAGGAACAGAAATTTGTGCCCGTAAAAATCAGTGGTTTGACAATGAATGCAACAAAAGAAAAAAATGAAGCCTACAGAAAGATGCTTACCCCACGAACTAGAATAACTGTAGAGAAGTTCACCTTCATATTATCATTATGTCATCAGAGAACAACATAAAATCGCTGACATACGCACACCGTATTATTTTAAGTTACAATTAGTAATTAGAGATATGAGAAATATGGAAATACGTGCTTGGCGGATGAAGGCGATGGATAGGGATGACTGGAAGAGAATTCTTGGGGAGGCTAGAACCCACACAGGGTTGTAAAGCCAAAATGATGATGATTAGTAATAAGATATATGCACTCCAAAAGATAGCTGGCAAACCGCGCTACACACAGTGGTCCATTTAATTGCTTATCTTTAATAACCGGCAAAATGCACGATTTAGCTAACAAATGTTTTCTACTGATTTCCATGATTCATGGCATATGGTATTCTCACCGAAAAACAAATAAACTGTCATTACTATATTTTATATAATTAAAATAAAATTATCTTTTGAAAATACTATTTATTTAATTAAAATCATGTTCCCTACTTTTCACCTCTTGTTTCGATTGGGCACTTTTGGTTAATTACGTTAAAAAAAATTTATTTTAATTCATGTCTGTGACATCTTCGTGCTTCTATCGTCCATAAGAAATACAATACCCTATCTCCGCAATTTTATTTTCTTAACGTGGAACGCCCTATAGGTCAAAATATTTTACCTCCTGTTCTAAATATTGATAACATTTTGTAATTACTTTATTGTTTTCGTTAGAATAGTAAGATCATCAGCGGAGGCCAGATATTGATGTTCATTGTTAAAGATGGACCCGGTCATTTTAACTCAGCTATTTCTGACTATTCTTTCCAATACAAAATTAAAAAGTGCCGTGAATAACGGATCTCCTCGTCTCTGTTAACCTCATTCTAACTAACCTAAACAGTTTTACGGGTATGCCTAAGGAGCTCAGTACGTCATATATTTTATTCATTCTTAACCTATCATATGCTTGTTTAAAATCTATGAACTGTAATCTGGATTTTTGTTAGTATAAAAATCTGATCTATTAACTAGTTTATCAACAGCAAATCTGTTGTCTCTCTCTTAGCATCTTGGTTAATATCTTGTAACAAGTATCCAACAGAGCAGCACCTCGGTAATTTTCACAATGCCAACCTATCCCCCTTTTTATATATGGGGCATAGAAAAACTTTGGTCCAAGCTTTGGGCATATTTTCCTCTTCCCATATCCCCTTGATAAGACTATACATCCTTTTTTGCAGTTCTTCCCTTCCATTCTTTAGCATTTCTGCAGACTACACACATGAAAACTTAAAATAAAACTGCAGATTTTTTATATAGTTTATTTTTAATGTAAAAGAGTGTATAAAAGAATAGCTACTAAAAGCTCGTCTATTAATACGCAATATAATATACAATAAATAATATCAGATTAAAACTCTTAAAATATATAGGTACTACTAACAATTCAGACAAGTTCTCTTTGATATGTACAGAGGGAAACATTTACTAGATAAGCAACTAACGACATTACATCAGTAGTGGCTACAAATTAAAATTAT